ATCGCACAAATGCATCGTCTTGAAAGAATTCGCAATCTGTTCTTATCTAGGGTTACAACACGAGGAGCCAATCACTCGATGGCTCGAGTATGCGTTCGCCCGACAAGTTCGGAGCCTCGAGTTGAACCTCGAACCTTGCTACGACGACCCCATGTACGGTCTCCCTAGGGATCTTCTCGTCGCGGAGGGTTCCCAATTCAAGTCAATCGAAGCGTTGACTTTTAAAGACGTTAGCTTGAGCGAAAAGGATATTGACTTCTTCTTGCGAAACTGTCCCCTGCTCGAAGAGTTGATCGTGTTCAACTCCCCGGAGCTGTCGGATCTCGAAGTCTGCGGCCCGTCGCTCGCGTTGAAGCACTTGGAGATAGTTTTCTGCCGGCGTTTGAAATCACTTCGAGTTTCCGCGCCGAGGCTTGCGCGTTTTTGGGTCGCAACGTACGACGGATTGTTGATTGGGAACTTGCCGATGCTGGTCGAGATTCGTACTCAGTGTAGAGACGATGACGTTCGCTTGGGACATTTGTTTTCGACACTTTCGACCAGTTCGCGATTGGAGACTCTTCGTCTGAAGCTGCTCCAATCACCGGTTGATTATTAATTTTTATTATTTTTTTTTATTTTTTTTTTCGGGTGTACTTAACGATATTTGTGATTGATTTCGCAGGAAATGCATGAGCTGCACAATCTTTCTCTACTGCCTAAACTGAAGAAGATGGTCATAGAATATATTGAAGATGGCCGCCGAAATATTTTTCGACTCTCTGATTTGATAAGGGCATCGCCTTTCTTAGAGGAATTTGTTCTAAAGGTACGCAGTTAAACCTCTATAAATTAATACAGGTTCAGGACTAGCATAATTCTATTAATTTAACAAGATTATCCTACTTTACTATATTTTCACCAAGTCGGAACCAGAAAATACAACATTTATTCAGGCGAAGTTATTAATTTATCGAACTTCTACTGTATGTGATTATTTGTTTTCTCCCTAATGCAGTATAAATGTGCGTATATACCGAATAACGAAGTGGAGGAGGCTATAGTGTCGTCTCCACACCACCACCTTAAGGTGGTGAAATTTTCCGGAGGTTTTGGTCGGACTAATTATCTTCGATTTGTCGACTACATTTTGGAGAACTGTCTTGTGCTTGAAAAAGTAATTGTCGATCCGTGTACCGGAACATTGAACCTTATGCTTGATAGTACAAATTTCGAAGAAAATGTAAGAAAGAAAGCAAAGCAACACTTTGAAGCACGAGTTCCTCAGCACATTGAATTGGTTTTTCTTTAAGTTGGATTATTTAGGCATCTTGCATTTTTTTTCATATTTAGATTGGATAATTTGCTCTATTTTTATTATGTTGAGTTGTTTTAATACAAAAACTAAGAAATACATGTTGCTGCCATAGTTAGGGTTCTAAAAATCGACCGAGGCGGTTCAAAATCATTTCGATTTTAGTGTAAAAATTTGAAAATTCGGATTTTGGCCTATAAGGCGGTTTTGGTAAAAAGGATGATTTATCAAAACTAGATTGTCAAACTCTTACGATTTACGATTCGATTAATTGATTTGTTTCTTATTTTCAACATTCCAAATTTGAATCGTAGGAAAAATTAATTAGACCCGACTCCAATACTTGTTTTCTACTATTGCAATTTTATATGATCGAAGGCTTTGATTTCTTAGTCGATATGTTTTATTTGGACAAACTACAATTTCTCTTTTTTAATAGTTGCCCAATTTTTACAGTTTGATATTTTGGGGAAAAAAAGATCTAAAAAATACTTTTATATGGCCAAAAATTGCTCATTGTTCAAGATATTTCATTTTGAGGTATTATATGAAAATCTATGTTTTTTACTTATTAAAAAAAAAAAAAAAAATGATAATAGAACAATAACATTGTTGTTGATGAGTGAAGAAACACGTGTTGCACAAAGTTTGTTCTGTGTTCTTGATAAAAAAAATTACGAGATACGTAGAAGCAAAAAGAATTACGATTAGGAAGGCGAAAGGGGTCGAAAAAATACTTCTAGCAAATAAAATTATGAAAGATATTTTTGATAATAAAATTAAAGGACTTTTATTATTAAAAATAGAAAAAGTTCGGGCATCTTTATATGTAAAGAACGAGAGGTCTAATTCTTCCTTTTATTCAAAATGCATAATCTCCGGTAAAATAGTACGGGTAAGCGAAGAAAGCAAACTGAAAACCCGAAAAACCAAGCCATTTCAAACCGTTCCGGACAACAAATTATATGTAAGGTTTTGTTATATTTGAAAAACTGAATTATTCGGTTCATACGGTGCAAAGGGTGAATAACCAAAACGAAAAACCAAACCAAACCGAACCAAAACTGACTTTGTTTATGTTATATATATTATTTTACCTTGATTTTTGCTTTCTATCTTTCAATTACTAGTCTCATTTTAAGTATTTGTGCATAAATTGAGACATTAACACTTTAAGCATTTAGTAACTAAATCTTTATTTGAATTTGTGGGTTTAGTCATGTGGTCGATGAAAGTAGGACAAAATTTAAATGGAGTATAACACATCATAAATAATGTAAGTGAACAGATCATTATCATTAATAATGTAAGTCCTATGGAATTAAATATTTGATATTTCCGTTGCATTTTGGTTAGTTTATGAAGGTAATTGTAATATGATTCTTTTGTTTGTACAAATTGAATATGCAGTTACTCGTGAACAAAATAAATAATTGAACTGAGCCAAAAAAAATTGAAAACGAATGAAACCGAACTGATGAAAAATCGATATATGACGGTCAGAAGATAACCCCCTTGTGGGTTATGGGTAGCTTCCGTCAGTTTTTCGGTCAAACTTAACTGCGTGTGTTAAACGTCAAAATAATTTTTTTGCAGATGACCCCCTTGTGTTTTTATTTTCCCTTTAATTTATGCAGATAACCCTCTTGAAGTTTGACACACGCGTTGACGGAACACTAACGGAAGCTACCCCACATAAACCGCAAGGAAATTGGTTATATGCTGATATTGCGAGCACAATGGGGTCATCTGCAAAATTTTGTAACCAATGGGGGGCTAAATGCTATTTACCGTAAAATTTAATGTTTAATTTAAATTAAACGAAAAAAAAACACAATAAACCCATGTGGGTCAAGTTGATAATTACTATGTACTCGGGGGAGTGAAAAAAAAAAATCATTCGCAACCAAAGATTCGTTTTTGTTTGCCGTGCGCCACCACACCTCTTGGTTCTTCATTCGTTACCGCCCAACTCCGGTGGTAGATCCTTCAGTATATTCCAGGATTTAAGCTCCGATTACACACACCACACGCGCACACACACACACGCGCGCGCGAAGGAAAGATGGTGAGTAAAACTGAGGAAGAACAAGTGAATAGATTGGAGAATCAAGTGGACAACGGCGGAGGCGGCGCGTGGGAGTACCTCTGTCTAGTCAGAAAACTCAAGCTACGCCGCTCCGATAAGGTCCTCAAGTACGGATTCTCAATTCTCAACGACTCCAAAAAGCGATCTGCTCTTGGCCCCGAAGGTATAATTTAATTCCAATTTTGTTTTTTTAATTTAATTAGCTGAATCTGTTTGTGGAAACAGATCGAGATTTTTCGGAATTGGGGATTTTCGTGTAATCGAGATCTTATGATAAATTATGATTTAGGTTTTGTTTTATCATACAGTTCAATTATACTGAAATTAGTATAATTTGATATTTGTCTCATCCAATCGCAATTAGTGGTGTTGTAATCATACTTCTCAACTAACAGGAATTTCAAAGCAATTATGTACATTGGCTAATTTGATATTTAGCTAATCGACCTCGTCGACATCTTACACTGATTCAATAGAAGATCTACAATTGACTGTCACTTCTGTAATCTCGAATCGAGGATTATTTGATGCTTTTCTTGTGTGGTCAATAGTGTCTAAAAAATGTTTCTTCTTTTAGTATATGAATTGTTCGATTGACTTTTCCCTACTCGTTGATTGATGTAGAATGGACTTTATACGAGCAAGTAGCTATTGCTGCTATGGACTGCCAGCGTCTTGATTTGGCTAAGGTACGTATCTTATTTTTGTAAAAAATATTGAATTTTTCTTTGTCTCATTGACATTTTCGGTTGCTTCTACCTTCTCAATTTTCTTATAGTTGACTTTAATTAATCCATATGTTTTTTTTAGCTCATCTATGTAATGTGCTGTAAGTGTAACCCTTTCTGAGTTTCTAGAAGGGGAATTAGTACAACCAAATAGCGTAGTGCTTGGAACATTGATTTATTAGATACTCTATCTAGACAGGACAAAGATCTTTATGAAAAATTCAATCTTTTGTTTTAACCCCTTTTTCTTTGGCTGGAGTATGTGAAGTATGCCCTTATATGAGAAGGGGTCTTGGTGGGATTATGTGAAGTATATCAATATACGAGAATGGTTCTTATTAGTGAACTTGCTTTAGCTTGATTGTTCATCTATGGAAGAATGTGATATCCCCTTTTGCAATCAATAGCTTTCTGGTTGTAAACAAATAGTATATGAGTGTGCCGGTGTAATTTCAAACTTATTTTCACTCGATTTACCGTTCTGACTTGCATATTAACTCAATCCACTCAGAACAGCCTTCCTCTAATACTTGATGAGTTGGCTTCATGGATTTTATAATATGTGAACGCGTTGGATGTAATTTACCATTGAGTCCTCATAAGTTGTTATTCTAATGTTTAATTTACCATTCCATCCTTGACCTCTTCTTTCTTTACTTATCCTCTGATTATAACCATTTTAAGTCAATCCACTGTTTTTCAGATAATAGAAAAGAAAAATATATGTGAACAATAGATTCAGTAGAACCCTTTTACTATGCTCTCCGATATTTAAGGCTATATTCTTTTTATTGATTTTTTTTTACATGTAAAGTAAATATTTGGATTCAATATTTAATTGATCTTTAACTGGCAATGGCAGTTAGTAGCACTCCTGCTATGGCATAGTTTTGTTCTTGGGTTATAAACTGTTCTATATTGTGTCGAGAACTGTGAACTATTTGGATTTATATGTTAACCGGTGACCTCATTTGCAGGAATATATCAAGAACCTGCAAAAAAAATTTCCAGGGAGTAAAAGAGTTGGTGAGTTTAACTAAACAGATAATATATGTATTAATCCATTTATTCTGTGTACCTAAATTATTTTTACCATTTCTTCCTTTCTAATTTATTTCCATGGTCAAATTATATATGTAACTAGGCCGTCTTTGTAATATTTCTAATTAGAAGAGTGAAATACAAGTTTATAGGCTTTTGGACATAGCCAAATGGCTGTCCCACGTAAATATTTCCGTTTAATCTCTCTTAAAGAAATGAATATGTGATATACTGTAGTCAAACCCACTTAAATAACTCCAACTACTCACGTCATCTTTAGCCTCTTGAGGCTTAATCGC